GGGGGGCTCCCGGGAAGGGCAGGCAGGGCCGGGCAGTGCCGGAGGTTTGCTCGCCGTTGAGGCTACCTGCTGGCCGGGCTTGTGGCAGCCGCCTTGCGAGCAGGGGCACAACGGGGCGTTTCTGTGGCGGTCTGCTGCAGCCCAGGCTGGGTAGCGAAGTCTGGGCGCTTACCTTACTCCTTGTCTCCCTTCCCCTATAATGCACTTCCACATAACTCGTCTTTTATTATTTGCCTAAATATCTAACCAGGGATGGAGAGCTGCCTGCTCTTTAATGTGGAGCACACATATTTCGGACATCTGTTAACGGTGTGTGAGGCACTCGCCTACCTGCTGCCCATAAAGGCAGCTGACGTTTTAACCCTCCCCATTGCCCTGTCCTCCACAACGCCTCCAGGCTCCTCTTAAATTTGTCTCCATTTTTTTATTTCACGTATAGGCTCTCCTTAGCCTCTCTGTTGCCTTTTCTTTCTCTTTTTGCTTTCAGCAAGCCAGAGTCTCTTTTGTGTTCTCAGTCTTCATCCCATCCTACACATAACCCCTGTATCTCCTGTTCTTTCCCCAGCTTTCCAAATGCCTGTGCCTGCTTATAAGTCCTAGACCCCAAGTAAAGAAGTAAGGGGGAAGAGCAGTCACCGTCTTCCCTGGCAGGTTTCAGTCATGGTGGGGCTGCGGACAGCCCTTTTTCCAGGGGTACCCTCACTGTCACCGCCAGTGGCAGAGGACGGGCATTGTGACTGAGGGCAATTTGAGGCTTCAGTTCAGTTTTAAATAATGGGAATCAGGAATTTTTATTATGGTTCAAACATGGAAGTTTGATTACAGAAATGGTTAATTTGTGCCCAGTATGACAGAGCTAAAGGTGAAAGCTGGCCCTTTTGGTATTAAGGTTAATTTCAAAAAGAAAGTGTGTCTGTTGTACCTAACCATATGTCTTTCTAGGAGGGAGATGAGACTAAAGCTGCTGATTTAATTTCTTCTCTGCCTTCATGCTCTTTCTATGGCCCTTGCAGTAGCTTTCTTTTAGCCTTTCCTATAGTCACCAATTCCATCTACCAGAATAATTTCCAGGCATTGTAGAGGAAAATCTGGTATGCTTTTCGCAGGTTGTCCCTGTTGAAATTGTTACAGTCTGTCCTTTTAGATTGTACTTTTTCTTATGATCCTTTCCAATGAATCATAGCAGATCCAGTTATAGAGATGATGCTTCCATGTTTGCTAAAAATAAAAACTAACCCTAAATTTTGGAACAAGACATTTGCTCTTTAAGAGCCAGATTCAAAATCAGTGATAATTTTGTGGATGGGGTCCTTAAATTAACATCTTAGGTGAACAATTTTTCTATTAGCCTTATCTCTTCCACAAATTCTAACTTGACATTTTAAAATGATCCCTTAGCCAAATAGAAGAGTACTTCTGGTAAGTCAGCATATGGTAAAGAATATCCTAGAATCACTTCACAAATATGCCAAGCTTGTGTTCTGCAACTGTTAGGCAGGTTTTTTCTCCTTATGATTTTTTTATGGGAAGAAAATCTGTTAATATATGAAGGTACTGAAAGATAAAGTAAAAATCCAGTGGATTTAACCAGTTCATCATCTTTTCTTTACTTTAAGGATATCTATGTGTTAAATAAATATATGTGTTAAATAAATTAATGGCAATAAAATTACACTCAGTGTGTTAATTTCAGGGCGAAGGAATTTTATCAATAGATACTAGCTTTTTATTTTTGTAGCAATGCAGGTCATACTGAAAGATTATCTTTCAGCCTCCTGTGGGTGTTTAAACCTTGTTTTCGTATGGTCAGTGGAAAAAATATGGAGGTTTACCTTGTGAATAATGTCGTTGCGTGTACGTTAATGAGCTGTTGTTGCTTCTAAGTAATTTTCATGCTATGGGCTTGGTAGTCACGTGAATGAGTTTGTATTTTTGTGTGCTGTCCCCTAGGACACTTGTAAGAACAATATGACCTTTCTCAGGGATGAAAATTGTAAATACAGAAAATTTATTTGAATTATTTTAGGAAGGAAGGGATCACATCTCTGACAGCTAGAATATGCCAGCCATTTTGAGAGAGAGAGAGAGAGAGAGAGACAAACGCGCACACACACACACACGGCAGAAGTGGTTCAGTTTTATAAGGATTGCAGTCTCTGTCATACTGGACACGTGCTTGACATGTGAATAGTAATCAGCAGTGCTGCACTAGCTGTGGGGCTTATTAATTTCTCAATGTAATTAGGATCTTATTTGATTTGTAAGTATCAACTGTGTGTATTGGTCTTGCCAGGTAATAGTGAGCTGTAGCCATGAATTATAGGATGACTTTAAAGAAAGAAACGGGTGAGGATGTCTGTCATTCCGATCCGTGTTTATTTGAGCTTTGAAATACTGAGAATCAAAATTGGCTAAGAAAAACCTACTTTGCTTTACATTCCAACAAGATTTGGGCCATAATTTAAAATCCTTGGTTTGGGGAGGAGGTAGGAGGGGTGAACACACAAAACATGAGAAGATGTGTTTTCTCTATGGTTATATTAGTAGAAATCTGTCCTATATTTCAAGATGTATTGTTAAATTACCTCATATCAGACAGCAATTAAACTGTGAATCGTTACATGTAGTGGCAGAAGATAGGCCAAACATTGGGGGAAAAAGAAATTCCTTCACACAAATGAAAGCGGGCTATGTGAGAAATAGCCGTGCAGTACTATCAGTAAAAGGCCCAAACCTTTCAGAGTTGTCATCTGGTAGTTTTCATGTATTAAACAGACAAAGAACACACATAATAAGAAACAGACATCATTTCGGTATAGGACCTAGTAATTCTCCTGCATGCAAGTTTGCAAATTCTCTTCCATTCATAAAGAGGGGAATGTGTAGCACAAAAGTGAGGTAATATTTTAAATTTTCTAAAAACACAGTGCAAGCATGAAGTTCTCACAGTGGCTTTCTGAACTGCCATAAAGAAACTCTCTCTGCTTTATTGTAATTGAGGTGAAAAAAGCATGAAGAATTTTTCCAAGACAGCCTGAAGCCCACCAATTATGCCTGGATTAGAACCAGTAACTTTGACAGGCTTCAATGGCAGAATAAAATCTGGTGGCTGGAATTGTTGCCATCCCTGGATGCCTGCCCCTCTGCTGACACAGTGCTGCCCCTGAGGTAGAGATTGATTCCAAAACCATTGCCGTTTTCAGCCAGTATATTACAGTCAGTTGAAATTAATATGTGTTAACGTTAATAAACTTGGTTAAACACGGTGTGGATTCAGGAGTATACTGATAACCAGAACAGGTGTCCCTGCCTTGAAAGTGGCAATAGTCATCAGAGAGAAAACCGAGTAAGGTGAGGGTAGTAACAGCTTCAGCTGTTAGGTTTTAATCTGCTGCTGAGTCTGCCAGAGCCCCTGTTCTCAACCCTTTGTCTACAACATTAGACCAGCTACTGAAAGGTTGTGCAATTAAACCCGTGCCCCAGTTCAGTGCATTCGGTGCAGGCAGGTCCCTCTGAAAAGTGATCATCATCTGAGAAGAACCACCCACATTTTGTGGAGTAGTTCATTAAGAAAGTTAAAAGCCATCAGGTGTTCTCTCCAGTTCAGCAGATTTAAGCTGGAACTTGCTGGTGAAAAAGAATGTATGTTTCAAATTAGATGAATATATTAAGCACAAAAGAATCTGGATGGGATAAACAGAAGGCAAATATTTTAAATTCTGAATGCATTTTAAAAGTGGCTTAAGATTCAGCGTGAGAGAATGAAAACCAAAGAATGTTGTTATTTTCTTTATTTTTAACCTGAATTCGTCTCTGTGATTTAAGATGAGTGGACAAAAGACTTCCACAAATTGAAAGTATCAAAAAAAAGAGAAAGCAATCCCATTCCCTTGCACTAAACAGACCTCCATGCTGATTGCAATAAGGACAGAATTGGTTCTCCAGTTAGTTCTAGATGGGATATATTCTTACCTCACATGAAGGGCATTATGCTTCAAGAGTTTTTTTTCAACTTTGATAGCTTTGCTGCTAAAGTATTCCTGCTTCTACTTTGATGCTCAATATGTGCAGTATATTCCTGTGCATCAGTAGGTTATTTCGCAGAGACTGGTGGACATGAGTTTTTTCTCCTATGTTAATTATGTTCAGGATCCTGAAGTGCTGAAATGAGTTTTGATCTGAGTGAGTACAGGACTGAGCCCTTTCTTGTGTAGATGCACAGGTGGAAAATGTGATGTGAATTTCTGTAGCTGCCCTACAGTTGCAGCGCTCTTTTTAAGTGACTGATGTGTGGGTCTTTCTATGTGAAGTCAAAACAACCTGTATGTGCTCTCCTTGCTTATTCATATGTTTCTGGTGGCTTCATTCACTTAACCTTAACAATGTGAGCAGGATTTGATTCTGTATTGATTCTATGTGTAATATAGAATGTAAATATGTGATCTAGGTCTGAACTAACACAGCTGTGTTTTTGAAAGGAGCAATGTATTGTTCATACCCTCTTTGCTTATTGCTTGTCAGGTTTACTAGAAAGCAGTACAAGGCTAAAACCTCATGAAGCTCAAAGCTACAGAAAGAAGGCATTGTGGGTTTCCTGGGTCTCCATTATTGTCACACTGGCTCTTGCAGTGGCTGCTTTCAGTGAGTATTGGGAATATTTTAAATCTTCACACCTCTTTTTTTTTTTTTTCTTTTTTTTTTTTTTTCTTTTTTTTTTTTTTTCTTTTTTTTTTTTTTTCTTTTTTTTTTTTTTTCTTTTTTTTTTTTTTTCTTTTTTTTTTTTTTTCTTTTTTTTTTTTTTTCTTTTTTTTTTTTTTTCTTTTTTTTTTTTTTTCTTTTTTTTTTTTTTTCTTTTTTTTTTTTTTTCTTTTTTTTTTTTTTTCTTTTTTTTTTTTTTTCTTTTTTTTTTTTTTTCTTTTTTTTTTTTTTTCTTTTTTTTTTTTTTTCTTTTTTTTTTTTTTTCTTTTGGGCTCTCAGAATTTCTCTTTTTGTGGAAGCTTCTCGTGTTTTTTCTTTGCGACTGCTAAAGAGGTTTCTCTCTAGACTGCCTGTGTCTGCATGGTGCTTATAAATTAGTAAAACTGTTGGTTTTTTCTGCAGAGAATAGGGTTGTTGAAGGTCGGAGAAAGAAACAGGAGATGTTGATTCCTGCTAGCTTTTATGCATGTGGAACTGTTCATTTTACAGAATAGTGTAAAAATCATTATGCAATGGATTGCCTTTAACCAAAGAGGTCAAATATGACAAGTCTTAATCCGCCTGGGATTTGTAGTGGGAATGCTATAATAAAGAATAGTGAATTGTAAGGAAGATACAGATAATTTATCTGTATTACACTGACAGATACCCTAACACAATGCTAATCGGGAGGAGAAATATCAGTTTCTTCTTAAGCCAGTGTTTTTCTTTAAGTTTCAAGACATTTGTCTAGTTTACCTTTACACAAAGAATTTGGAAAAAAAAAATCAAACCAACCACTTTTATATGGAAAAAATGAAATATATTGCTTTTATTTCAAAACAGGAAAAAATGCTACGTTGTGTAAATAAAGATATATTATAGTTCAATTCAAATTTGTGAAATACCAGCTTTCTATCTTGGTCAATTAAGTAACACTGCATTACTGTAAGGACAAAAAGAAATGTGGAATCTGGAACAAAATCTTTGCAATGGCACATTCTCTGTGTAAAAGAAGGAAAACCCAGAAGTGACTGGATTTACGTGTTTATATAAAGAAAAGGAAAGCTCTGTCTGGGGGACAAGACATCTAAGATGTCTCAAAGCATTGTTCTTCAGCTTGATAAAGACAGACTTGCATTATTTTTCTTTGTTTTTTTTTTGAAGCTGCAGCAGCATGTGTTTTATTATTCTAATCTGCAGTGTACGACCTGCTGCTGGAAGTTGGTGTCGGCTCCCAGGAGAGATTATTAGAATCTGACCAAATGGTCTCTGAAAACTCGAGATATATATATTACTCAGGGCGATTTATATAGAAACACAGGTACACTAACTTGATTCAAAAAGAACAGAAAAGGGAAGGAACACTTAAAAGCAGAATCTAAGACTGTAAAGAATTTCAATGTTAACAAGCAAGCTGGACGTCTGAGTTTCCATTTTGTTCTGCTTCATGAAAATGCAATAGTCCGTCTATGCTACTGAAGCAACATAAAAGTAAATACTGTGTTACAAAATAACTTCATTACCTATTAACAATATAATTTTAGGGGGTACTGAGAAATGGCTTAATTTTGTTTTACATTTTAATTTGGCAGAGTTGGAAGACATAAGTATAATATGGATAACTAAAACACTCCATTTCTTCTAAAAGGGTCCTTTTAAACATATTGTAAGACTAGTTAGGCTATCTGAAAGCTTTTATTTTCTGTTTTCCGTATCTGTGGTACTCTGGTAGTGTTTAGAAACCCTTCCAAAAAAAGCAGCAGAGAAGGAAGTCCCTTCCTGGATATACTGTGACTGCATACTCAGCTGGAGTGGATAGGCATTGAACTACTGAAATCAGCTGTTAGTAGTAGACTAATTATATGTTTCTGGAATGTATCTTTCCTCGTGGTTTGAAGGGGCTAAATTTATGAGGAATAAAAGAGGAACCAGCATACAGATACATATTAAATCTGTATGGAATCTCTTAATAGACGGTTGACAGTTAACGTACATGCCACAAAAGCATTGCCAGGGCTTTTGATATGCTTCGTATTAAAACTTTTCAATCTTTGAGTAAAATACAGTCATTCTTCTAGAATCATTTTGCTCCCCCATGCAATTTCAGTAGTTCTGCTCAGTTTATCGTCTCACATGGACTGCTCTCTTCCTTTGTGCTGTCCTTTTAGCAGGTTCCTCTAGCCAATCCATGACTTGGGAGACATGCTAGGTGACCAGAGTTTGCTGCCTGTTTGATGTGAATGACTAGTTGTCACTTTGGGGTGTCTGACACTGCCAATTCTTTTCAAACACCTGCTATTTAAAGCATCCTGTTTCCGTTTTACTCCTTTTCTGTAATGGTGAAGTGTTAGCAATACAGCCCTGATGTTCCATTTCAGTGAAAAATGGGGACCTGCTGTGCTAATTGTTGGGCTATGCTGACTGTATTCTCGCTACTCTTTCTGATTCCTCTATACATTCGTTCTGTAAATTTCTGTTTTATCTTCTTATAGGCTTCAGGATACTTCTCGAAAATGTATCTTACGGTGCAGCTTTTGCAGCAGCACATGATATAGTAAAGATACTAGGCCAGGGAACTGACATTACTTGCTAACTGTAGTTGAAGAAATGGAGGACACAGAGGGTAAGAAAAATACTAAGGGGAGTGATACCTGTGTGTATGGTCTGTGTGGAGTGTGGGGAAGTGAGATTCAGGAGCTTCCTTTTCCAACCAAGTGCTTGTAACTAGACTTCCTTTCCTTTTTTATGGTCTGCCCCCTCCCTTGAGTGCTGCAGTTTGATCACCATCTTTCCTTTCAAGACTAGTCTAGTTGCTTCCAAAGCTCTATTTTTCTAGCATTAGAGTAAGTTGGAATGGTTTATCTTGACTGGTACGAGATGTTTTCTTTTGGTGGGATTATGATGATGCCCCAGCTGAACTCTGATCTTCTTTCACTTGGTAATATTGAAAGAGATTGATAAATCTTTTGTTGATCTGAATACATGAAGTAGTTTCCTTATTAGGTAATGATCTATGGCATGTGAGGTGTGAGATCCATTGATCTGAACTGCGTGTTAGACTTACTATTGAAAAGAACCTGTGTATAGTGTCTTAAAGGTGTATAAATTCAAGTTATGATATACCTATATACATGTCATATATTTGCTACATAACAGGTGTATGGTATGTATTCTCACTGGGATGGGCTATTTTGTGGCCTGAAATACCGTAATGTAGAAGATGAAATGCATCAAAATGTGTTTGGTCACTTTAGGTTTGGAAATCTAAACTACGCTAAGCCAGATATGGAGCAGAATGGCTGCTTAAGGGGAAATGAAATTGTCATCTTTCATTCGCTAATATGGAGAAGTAGGACTTGCACAGACCATAAAATCAGCTTTTTCCTTTAGCTGAAAGAACAGATCTCTTACTATCAGGTACTTAATATACTTAATTTTACTACAGAAATGCTGTTCTTGCAAAAGACCATTTGTAAGCTTCAGCTGCTGTCTCTAAATACAGCTCCCGCACTGTATGGTAATCACTGTGGTCTCATTGGCACTGAGTGCTGTTGAAGGTGTTGCTCTCCAGCATACAGTTGCACAAGGCTTCAGTAAAATCTTTATAGACTTAGATTTGTAAGATCCTTAAGGTCGGTGGAGCCCTATGGTATTGTCTTTAGTGGCTGAAAGTTAGGGTCTCTTAGAATCAGTTGTGCATATTCTGACATTTGTGGCTTTGTGCAATACTTTTATGGTCAGATACTGAGCAATGCATGATGAATAAGTTCATTTCACTTTTCATTTCAATGCTGCCTGAAATATGCATGCTTGTAGAATTCTCATGAAGAGTGGATTTATATTTTTATAAATATATAGTCATAAACTGAGACTGGGCATGATAAAAATTACTCAAATGAACATTAATTTATTCCTCAGCATCCCAAGTAAGTACTGGAATAATAATTTTAATATAATTGTTTCTGTTTTACAATAATATAAGAATGATAACATAATCTGAACATCTTTTTTTGCAACATATATATGTGTAGTATAAGGCTGCAGTCTAAATCATTTCCTAATAACAACTATAACTTCTTTCTGTAGCTGCAGTATTGTAGATTCATACTGAGCCTAGTTTCAGAATCATAATACAGGATGAGGGACTATTACAGGTTGAATGGAATTTTGGTGTTTTGAAACCCATTACTCTTAGTTTCTTGACATTTATGTTACTAAACCATAATTTTGAAAAATATACAAATATAGCTTTTGCTGTTGTGGTTTAATTTCTGCTTGAGCAGCTAATCTCTGCTAATATTGTCAAAGCAGAAAACAAACTCTCATTCTATCTGGTATTTCTTGTCCAGTGTAGACTTGTGATTCACAGAAAGTAGCCTGTTCATTCATCTTCCTGATTTGATTAGCTAAAATTGTTTCACAGTGAATGGAGTAGTCATATCAATATATCAAAACAATGTATAGACCAAATTCTGCACTAAAAGCTCTCTTTGTAGTCAGAGATTGAGTAGAGATTTAGAGTGTGTGCCTTTGTAAATGTAAGCTTTGTAAAGGGCTTTCATGAGGCAGCCGTCGAGATGGAACTTGCAAACAGCCTGTCCCAGTGTGGTCAGAGCACGCCTGAATAGGCCCTGCATGCTGATGCATCACGGGAAGAGTTGACACTGGGCTCTTTGCAAAATGCTGGGGAAATAGCAGGCGGGTTGTGAAATCTTTCCTCGTGGTTGCTTTAGCGATCAGTCCTTTTAGATCACCACAGACGTATTTAAGGGTCTAGCTTTATAGAAATAATTGAAAACTTGAGTGCAACAGTAGGTCCATGATTTGAGGTCCTATCCTGGTAAGTGTTTGTCTGGTGTAGTAAATACGCGCTGTTATTTTGAGAAGGTGAATTCTATAAATCTGTGTAGTATTTCAGATGGAAAGTTGGTGGATACAATTCTATAAGTGGGAGTATTTTA